AAGAGCGGTATTAGCTGTAATGCTGTGCTCTGCATTTCAGAGCAAAGGTAGTGTCTTTAGAGCAACAAAGACCTCTAGGAAACAAACAAGCAGGGTGGTTTTCCGTAGAAAAACCTGCCACTTACTAAATCCCTTAGAAAGAAACCAGACACCAGAAAAATGACCATAGGCCACTTCAGTGGCTTTTAACCTGTGCCCAGGCAGGAATTTAGCTTCCATAAGGGAACAACCTTAGTCACTTATTTTTCACTCACAGAAAATAAGTTCAATTTCAAAATGCACATAGTGTGGATGGTAGGAATTCAACAATTCTAGGTACGAATGAACTTAATTCCCCTCAAAATCCAAGGAAATAGTTTTTAAACCTCTAGGACATTACTGCAGCCAGGGTTTCTTCCCTTCATGGATGTGGGTCCTACAGAAAAAAAGACCTTAGTTTCTTTGCTCTGTGGGGAGAAAACAAACAGGAATGTCCAACAGGCCACAAGAGAGCGGCACAAGGGAAAGCATTTTTTAAACTACCTCTCCCCCACCAAAAGAAACCCCTACCCTTTGAAAACAAGACAAAAATCCTTGACCTAAAAACCAAGCGTGACCAAATTATAAAGAAAACAAGTGTTTCAAACTGCCTGCTTGTTCTCTGTACAAAAAATAATGGCATAAAAACAAACTCATAGTAAACAGTTTTTATCTTTCAAATCCTAACCATCAGGAATCACTTCCTTGTGATTCAACCTCTGAAGCAAAGTGTTTAGGAACAGTCTTAGCATCACAGGGATCACCATGGCAGCCGCGTCTGTGGGACCAACGGCCTGTGGTTGGAAGGGGTTCTGTGTGTTTCTGCCTCAAAAGAACTGGCCATGCACACAGGGCCTTCCTCCACTGGCACTGGTCTGGGAGAAGGGCCTGTGACCCCTCTGTTCTGTTAATTATCATAAGCATGTCAGTCACCACCACGGCCCAATCGACAAAGAGAAATGCTCGTCTCCCTGTTTTAAAAAAACCCAACAGCTTAACCTCTTTCTGTTCCAGGCACTATCTTAGCTAAACACATGATGTTTACTAGGGCGTGGAGGAAGAGCTTTCTCCAGGCCCATCAGGTGCGCCTCAGTTCCTGCTCGTTAACGGTGTCCAGTGTAAGCTTTAAACCAGGAGGTGACGGAGGCCGCGGCAGAGGAGATCATCCCACCAGCACTGCTGCTCGCAATGGGCGGGGACGCCTGGGTGCTCTGGCTCTCGGAGACTTCCACGGGCTGGGAAGGAATGTCACAGAACCGGGGGCTGGGCAGGTTCTCCCAGTCGGTGCCCAGGTCGGTTTCCTCGTCACTTACGTGCTCATCTCCACTCTCGTCTGATTCTCCAGCAACTCCAGGATCCACAAACTCCATGGATTCCTCCAGATCTGCTCTCACTTCAAAGGGTCCCGACCTGTGCGCAGACAGGGAGGGCCCCTTTAAGACAAGCACCCCTCTCGCAACATAAGACCCGATGGGACGCGGCAGGCCCAGAGCCGTCACCATACCCACGACTGGTCTAGAATGGAGCTTTTCTTTACCTAAATAATAATGGCCATCCAAGTAATGAAAAAACCACCACACCACACTTTCCCTCAACTCAACCTACTTGGGAAGACCCTGGATGGAAAAAACCCATCTGCTGAGACTAGGCATGCTGGTCCAACATACGATTTCCTGTTTCAAACCACCACAGTATCCATGCATGCCAATGAGAGAATTCTGACAAAAACAGTCACTTGATGCATACACAGGCATATCAGTGAAACAATAAAATTGTACAGGTGTTCTCTGCCTCATGGAAGCCCCCAATTATTAAACTCTTAAGACTCACAGGGGCTAAATGATAGGGTTGTATGCATGTTAGCAAAGCTTCCTTGGATTAGTGTCAATAACAAGCTCCTGCACGCATTTTAAGATATCATTACATAATTTTCTAGGGACACATTTATAGCATTGAATGAGATACAACTATTTAGAACATATTCATCTGGAATAGTGCATATTTCTGCGCTATATTTCAGGAGAAAACTATTTTTATTTCCCAAAGGTCCCTAATGACATCATCACCTCCAAGTCAGGCCTCATCCCCTGTGACCACCCCTCAGTGCCACTGTGGAACCCTTGTGAGCAAACTCCACACAGCCCCTGCTGCTCTTCCATGCCCCCTTTCTAGCTCCTGCCTCAGGGGAGCCAGGCTGCATTTCCTTTGGGTGGGCTGTCACCCCACCTACTGCCCCTCCAGAGGGGTTCCCTGCGGCCAGCTACAGGGTGGGACCACATCACTCCAGCAGCCCCCCCCCTTGTTGTCCCCAAGATAAGGACACAATGCCTTGGTTCACTTAAGAGTTTCACTGACAGTTACTTTGGGGAAAATGACAGACATTAGCAAAAACAACAGACATGAGAAATAACTTAGAATTGTACAGCCTGTCATTTTAGTCTATGGTCCAAACTTCTCTGCAGCCTTTATGATGATAAAAGCCTAGCGTTGGCCTCCAGTGCACCTCCCCAGACCTGTACCTTCTGACTCACTTTTCCCAGGGTCAAGCAACCTTCATTCTTCCAAGACAACCCTGCTTCCCAGCTAAAACACAGCAATAGCATATAGCCAGCATTTCTGTTCCAGGCACTGGAGTCCCTGTTGGCCTCTCAGATGTCTGAGCCAACCAGTCTCAAAACACAAGCCAGCAGAGGCTCTTCCCCTCCTCCCTCACGGTCCTGCCTGCTATGACCAAATAAGCCCCCTTTCCACCCTGTGTCCCCCCAGCTCAGGCCCTCACTGCACCCGCCCCTCCTCCTCGCCGGGGTCCCACCTCTTCCGGTCAGCCTCCCTCCACCCCCACTAGCTTGCTGAGAGCTGCCTCCACCCCTCTCCTCATGGCAGCTGCCTACCAAAACACGGTCACAATGTAAGTGCCTTAGCTGGGCTCCCTCTTTTCCTGAACACAAAGCTCTTGGATTCTGTTCTGTTCAGCTTCACTGTCCAGGGGGCCTCAGCATCTACTGCCAGGTTTCATCTCCCAAACCCCCCAGGCTCCCTCATAGACCCAGGTCTGCTCTCCACTGCAGTCACTTCCTTGCTGCCAGCCCAAGAAGCACAGCCTGTTTTCTGTTCTTATTTGATGCTGCCAGATCTCCTCTTGGGGTCCCTCTCGGCATGAGACTGCCATCACCTCCAGGCCCTCTCTTTAAGGGTTTTCCCAGGAAACAGGCAGGAGTGATACATGGGAGGGAAATGACACTCCCTCCAGGCAGAGCTCCCTGCCAGAAGCCACGGGGACTCCAGTTCTCTGCTTGGAACTGCATGGGGCAGAGTCCGGCTGGTCCGGAGAAGGTGCCCTAATGAAAAAACTGTAGGGAGGGAGGGAGGGAAGCACAAGAGGGAGGGGATATATATATATATGTATAGCTGATTCACTTTGCTATAAACCAGAAACTACCACACCACTGTCAAACAATTATACTCCAATCAAGACGTTAAAAAAAAAAAAAAGAAAAAACTAGTAAATGATTCCCAAAGTGTCTGAACAATTTTAGTTCCAATGAGTAACCTACATTTCTAAGGACCTGTGAGAGCAGAAGACGTTTCTCCACTAAGCCTCTGTCCTATCACTTCTAGCTTAGAGATCTATTATCTGCCCAGCATACCCCAAGCCACACACACACCCCACACAAAATTAACTAGCAAAAGAATTAAGTCTTTTCACTTAATGGCTTTGGGAATAAAGATTTTCAAATCATTCCTTCAGTTTTCAGTTTAGCTGAATAATTGATATCTTTTTATTCAGGACTCTGAAGCCAAGAGTACTCATTTTTTCATGATGCTGTAGGGGGTTATTCTCATCGATTAAGGCAACAAAATGTTCTTTTTGGCTTTTAAGAAGTCTCTTTTGCAAAATATTTCAAAAATATTATATGATAGAATATACAACCTCAAGAGTGAGCTCTACTGTAAACTATAAACTTTGGATAAAAATGATGTGTTAGGGGCTTCCCTGGTGGCGTAGTGGTTGAGAGTTCGCCTGCCGATGCAGGGGACACGGGTTCGTGCCCCGGTCCGGGAGGATCCCACATGCCGAGGGCAAGGTGGCCCATTAGGAAACCCAAGCAGTATTATTAGCAATACCTGTGATTTTTGTCATCAATAGAAATCATATACATTTTCATGTATTATAGTTGTAGTGTCTTGAAACATCATTTACCCTCATCTCTTCTTTGAAATTACATTAGTCAAAAGAAAAAAAAAAAAAAAAAAAAAAATGATGTGTTAATCATGCTAAAGACTGGATCAGGTAAGAAACATCAATAGATATTAAATCCAGGGGGAAATTCTGATGAGGATAACTGCATGGTCTCAAAGTGTCTCCCAACTGACTGCTTATTAGTTGCAAGGAAGGAAAAATATAGGAATTGTACAGAGGAGAAGGTAGAAAGCACCTTGGCTGGTTGATCAAATTAGCATCACCAATGAGGGACAGATGGCCACTGTGGGCCTCTGGATGTGATACCCAGGAGACATTCACCTAGGCAGCATTCCAGCCTGGAATGTATAACCTGATCTCATTTCAAGGAAACATCAGAATAAAAGTTCTATTAAAAAAGAAGGATAAAACAGTAATGTCATGAAAAACAAACGAGGCTGTGAAAATGTTCCAGATTTGAAGGTTAAAGAAACATAGCAACTAAACACAACATCCAACTCAAGACTGGACCCTGTACTTGGGGTGAGGTGCTATAAAGGACATTTTTGGTCCACTGACAAATTGTGCATATGGCAGTATTGTATCGATGTTAAATTTGCTGATGTTGGTAACTGTACTGTGGTTAAAAGCAAGAAAATACCCCTATTAAAAAAAATACATATTGAAGTATTTAAGGGTCAACAGCCATGATGTATGTAACTTATCCTCATAGGGTTCAGAAAAAAAGTTTTGGGGGTATGTATGTGTATTTATGAAGAGAGACAGAGAAACTGCACAAATGATAAGCAAACATGGTAAAAATACCAGGAAAGGGTATATGTGTCTTTGTACTATTTTTATTTTTTTGCAATTTTTCTGTAAGTTTTAATTTATTTCAAAGAAAACAAAAGCTAATGTTGCATTCAGGATGGGATCCTCAGTTCAGCTGGTCTCAATGGAAGCAGGAAGTCCCACCCAGGTTTATTAACAGCCTCTCTAAAGCCTTGATCCTGACTGAGGCAGGTGTGAAAGGGGCCTCCTGAGGCTTACCTCCTGACCTCCTGGCTCACAGACATGAACTCTACAGCCTGGCTATGCAGGTGTACTCCTGTCGGACAGAGCCCTCTAAATGGAGAGCTGACTTGAGGGCAGCCCAAAGAAAACTTCAGACCCACCAAAGAAATCCAGCCCTAAAAGAAAGGTGTTTGTTTTCCTAAACAACCAGCAACACTGGGTTATCATCAATCCTTTCGATTTTTGCCAAACTGATGGCTGAAAACTAGAAAGCTGTTTAGAAGAGCATTTCTTTATTCTTGACTGAGGCTGAAGATTTTTTTCCATTTGAATACTGACTACTTGCACTTCTTTTGTGTGAAATGCCTGCCTGAATCCTTTGTCTATTTTTCTATTAGGTTTATCTTTCTTTTATGGATTTGAAAGATTTTAAGTAGTCTAGACTTTAATCCGTTGTCTATTATAAAGGTTGCAAAACATACCTGTTGCTGTCTTTTAACTTTGTTTATGGTATCTTTTACCAGAGACATTTTGTTTTGACACAGTAAAATGTGTAACTCCTTTCCTTTCTGGTTTTTGGGTTTTGTAGCTTGCTTGGGAATTCCCTCCCCACCCTGTGATTATAAAAATCGTCTTTTCTCCTAGTTATTTTACAGGTTTTATTAAAAAATAAAGTAATAGGGTCTTTCATATCATCTGGAATTTATTTTTACATATGGAATGCAGTATGATTCCAACTTTTCCCCACATAAATACCCAACTGGCCCACCACCACTGAGCTGCTATTATCCGATTCAACATGCCACCCTATCATCTATTATATTCCTACGCACACAAGGGCCTGTTTTTGGCCTCTTTATTTTCTTCCTCTAACTGCTCCACCTATTTGCATGCTAACGGCAGATAATAAAGGTTTTAATTACCTTTATACTATGTTTTAAAAGGGGCCAAGCCCATCCCTTATTATTCTTTTTCAAAATTTCCTTTCAGACTGTGCTTCTAGTTGAACTTTGGAATCAGCTTAACAAAGTTCCATGAAATATCTGTTGAAATTCTGATCAGGTTTCCTTTTGGGCAGAAGTGGCATTTTTACCATACTGAGGCTTCCCATCCTAGAAAATCCTAAGGGTCTTCGCGGCATCGGGCTTACTTTCATTCAGTCCCATACCTCATACAGTGCCTGACAGACATTCAGGAAATACATGTTGAATATTTTTTTTTTTAAGTTTCGTATTTTCTTTATACAGGTTTACAAATATTTTGTAAGGATTATTCTTATATAATTTATATTTTTTGTTGCTACAATAAAGGGGACCTTTTTTCCATTACATTTTCTAACTAGTTGTTGTTGGCATATAAGAAAGCAATTGGTCTTTGTACATTGAGCTTGTATCTAGGCACCATACTGAACTATCATTTCTAAGAGTGTCTTAGTTCTCTTGGATAACCAGTTCAATAATCACACCATCTACCAATCTCACCTTCTTTCCAATATAAACACACCTTACTTCTTTGTAAAAATCTTTTGCCTTGGCTAGGCCTCCACAGCAATGTTAACATAGCAGTGATAGTAGGCATTCTTGGCTTTTTCTGACTGTAAATATCAATGTAAGTAACATGTGATTAAGTATAGTAGTTTTTGCTGTAGGTTTGTAGTAAGTATCCTTTATTAATAACCTATTTTTAATTTGCTAATTGTTTTCCTTTAATTATTAATGGGAACTGAATTTTATTCATTGCTTTTCTCCCATCTATCAGGTTGATCTTATGCAGGTAAAGCAGCTGGCACAGTGTCAATAAATATTGGCTCAATAAATATTGGCTGTTATTATTAAGGATAAATTTCCTAATGTGGAATGCTTTATAAATAATGTATAGAGAGGATGGCAAGCAAATTCACAGGAATCAACCACTAAAAATGGGATGGATTTCTAACAGGTTTCTGAGGCTTATAAACTAATAAATGGGATTTGGGGTGAGGAGAATGAATTCCCTCTAAAATGGCACGAAATTCTAGGTGTGTGTGCAGTTTCCTGGAGAGATTTCACAGCCTTTCCCAGAGGGGTCTGTGTCCCAGAAAAGTTAACTATGGTTTTAAATGGGGGGGGGTGTTGAGGAAGAGAAGAAACACAAAACAAGATTAAGGGCAGATTACCAAGGATAAATTCACTGAAACATGGAGGGGGGTCTCCCCTTGAGCCACGGTTCCAGTGTCAAAGAAAATGAATGATGGGGAAGGGAGTCCCAAAAGAACTTTCTTTCTTCTCTTTCAAAAGTTCAAATACATTAACCGAGTCATATCTACAGAAATGTATAGAGAGACTGCTCAGAGCAAGGGAAAAAGATAAGCACACAGAGAATGGGTCTTGTTTGGTCCCAAAGATAAGCCTCATCTATGTCATGCTTTTAAGGGCTGAGAGACTAAAAAGATCCCATAGACCAGTCCTGGTTGGTCTTTTTTGTTACTTACTCCTGTTTTTAAGATAATGGATTTCAAACTAGTTCATCTCATAAACTTCTCATACCCTTTATCTCCAACAAATGGTGGCCAGATGGACTCAGTGACAAAAAGAAAATTGTGCAGAATTGTTATGATGGGAAAGAATGAACAGGCACAAAAGAAAATGCCCAAGAATCAGGAGAGACACTAGGCGGAGCTAAGGAAGAATCAGATGTGGATTCAAAGTAACAGATTTTGGTCTTCAGGGACAGCACAAGAAGTCCCTACTCCAGGAATATAAGAGTTCTTCTATTCTGTTTTAGGTGTTAAAAATGTTTGATACTAATTTCCTCTGAGAAATGATTATGTAAGGACCATAAGGAATCAAATATGATTTTGTTTCCTTCCATACAGGACTGTGTTATCTTTGTCCCTTCTGGAGAGTTTGGAGCTTGGGATCAGGCCCCTGTTCTATGCCCACACATACAGCAACTCTACTTAAAAGTCGTCATAACACCACCACTTAGAGAAAAGTAACAAACACCCTTCTTACCTGCCTAGGTGTTCAGCGTTCGGACTGACCAAGTACATTAGATTCCTGAGAGTATGCAGTGGTTGTAATTGATCTAAATTTACATGCTAGAAAAAGAAAAAAACTGATTAATATTTTCAACCATGTAACAAATTAAAAATTAGCTCACAGCGTTATTTTCCATACCTGAGAAAAGCACAGGTAAAGAATATTTGTATTTAGTTTCTTCACTGCTCGAGTAAATTTCTGTTTGCTGAGGTTTTCTCCACAAAATTCACTGTAAAATAATGTACGATTTGTAAAGCTGTGATTTCTAAAGAAATTCTATGTTAAAATGTTCATTTTGAAGAGTATGCTTTATACTACAGTTCAGTACAAAACATACCCCATGTCCTTTGCTCTTAATAAATTGCACGTAACAGAAACTCTTCTAAGGATGAACTACTGCTCTCATAGCAATTTCACCACATCCATAAAATTACAAACGCACATATCTTTTGACCAAGCAATCCTACTTCTGAAAACTCACTCTACACAAATGCTTGCACACTAATAAAACAAAGAATGTACAGATTATTCCTTGAAGTATAAACTGGGGACAGAGCAGACCAGTATGATCTTGGTACATCTGTACAAACGAAAACTTTGCTACTATCCACGTTAGGCAGAGTGACAGCTGAAAGCCAACGATGGCCCTATAAGGCGCCACAGAATCTACAGCCTCCTGTCCCTGCTGCCTCGTTCTCTCACCCTGGGCTCTGCACCTGCCCTTCTCCTTCCCCAGGGATCCCTGTGGCCTGCTCCTGGCCTCCCCCAGGTTGACATGTGATTCCACACCTACCCAGTCAGACGTGGTAAACCCTTCCTTGACCTTACAGGCCCGCTCTTTCATCTGCTCTAATGGTCTCCCGAGCACTCATCACCACCTGACGTACTGTTCGTTTATCATGTGTCTCTCCGTTAAAGTTAAGTGTTAGAAGGGCAGAGGTTACGTTTTCATCACCACTGTACCCCTCAGTGCCTAGAACAGTGCCTAGCACATAGCAGGTGCTCAACAAATCTTCATAAATAAATAATAAATTTAAAAAGGTGCAAAACACCTTAGTTTAGCATGATACCTTTTGTGTTTAAAGGGGGGTGGTGGTAGTGGTAATAACACACATTAATATTTACTTGAAATGCAAGGATAACTGGAGGGAGACAGGAAGGTCTTCGTAGGAACTGCGTGGACTATAAACCTTTACAATTTTAAAAAACTTTAAACCACGTGTTTTTCATTAAAAAAAAAAAATCAAAGTGTTACAATTTATCCAGTTCTTACACATAAGCATGCCCTCTGAATATCCTGGTTTTCCCTTAAATTATCTTTTCACATGGGAGAATTCCACGGTCTTTTCAAAGACGTCATATGCAATTTTAAGATAATGACACAAATTTGCACATTGGCTTATGAAATCAATCTCAGTATTTCGTGGTCAGACCTTTTCTCTCTTGATAATACTTAAATTCTTGTTTTTGTTTTAATTAGAATAAAGAACACAATAGGAACATAAGAGAGCCGTGATAAAGATGACATCACCGTCTTCAATTACTTGCCTGTTGCACAGCTTTTTGGGAAGGTTTACGTCGAGTATATGAGACAAAATGTTGACCAGCTGAGTCGCATAGCACAACGCAGCACTAATCGTGTAAGCAGGGTTATTATGCTCCATATCTAAAGTATAAAAACAAGAGCCTAATCAAGACAGTATGGTACTGGCACAAAAACAGAAATATAGATCAATGGAACAGGATAGAAAGCCCAGAGATAAACCCATGCACATATGGTCACCTTATCTTTGATAAAGGAGGGAGGAATGTACAGTGGAGAAAGGACAGCCTCTTCAATAAGTGGTGCTGGGAAAACTGGACAGGTACATGTAAAAGTATGAGATTAGATCACTCCCTAACACCATACACAAAAATAAGCTCAAAATGGATTAAAGACCTAAATGTAAGGCCAGAAACTATCAAACTCTTAGAGGAAAACATAGGCAGAACACTCTATGACATAAATCACAGCAAGATCCTTTTTGACCCACCTCCTAGAGAAATGGAAATAAAAACAAAAATAAACAAATGGGACCTAATGAAACTTCAAAGCTTTTGCACAGCAAAGGAAACCATAAACAAGACCAAAAGACAACCCTCAGAATGGGAGAAAATATTTGCAAATGAAGCAACTGACAAAGGATTAATCTCCAAAATTTATAAGCAGCTCATGCAGCTCAATAACAAAAAAACAAACAACCCAATCCAAAAATGGGCAGAAGACCTAAATAGACATTTCTCCAAAGAAGATATACAGACTGCCAACAAACACAGAGATTGCCAATAAACACATAAAAGAATGCTCAAAATCACTAATCCTTAGAGAAATGCAAATCACCTCACACCAGTCAGAATGGCCATCATCAAAAAATCTACAAATAGTAAATGCTGGAGAGGGTGTGGAGAAAAGGGAACACTCTTGCACTGCTGGTGGGAATGTGAATTGGTACAGCCACTATGGAGAACAGTATGGAGGTTCCTTAAAAAACTACAAATAGAACTACCATATGACCCAGCAATCCCACTACTGGGCATATACTCTGAGAAAATCATAATTCAAAAAGAGTCATGTACCAAAATGTTCACTGCAGCTATATTTATAATAGCCTGGAGATGGAAACAACCTAAGTGTCCATCATTGGATGAATGGATAAAGAAGATGTGGCACATATATAGAATGGAATATTACTCAGCCACAAAAAGAAATGAAATTGAGCTATGTGTAATAAGGTGGATGGACCTAGAGTCTGTCATACAGAGTGAAGTAAGCCAGAAAAAGAAAGACAAATACCGTATGCTAACACATATATATGGAATTTAAGAAAAAAAACTGTCATGAAGAACCTAGGGGTAAGACAGGAATAAAGACACAGACCTACCAGAGAATGGACTTGAGGATATGGGGAGGGGGAAGGGTAAGCTGTGACAAAGCGAGAGAGTGGCACGGACATATATACACTACCAAATGTAAAACAGATAGCTAGTGGGAAGCAGCCGCATAGCACAGGGAGATCAGCTCGGTGCTTTGTGACCACCTAGAGGGGTGGGATAGGGAGGGTGGGAGGGAGGGTGATGCAAGAAGGAAGAGATATGGGAACATATGTATATGTATAACTGATCCACTTTGTTATAAAGCAGAAACCAACACACCACTGTAAACCAATTATACTCCAATAAAGATGTAAAAAAAAAAAAGCCATACACAAACAGCTTTAATTTCAACAAAAATATTAATGAACCTGGATTTTTGTGATTTGTGGCTTTGTCAATGCATTATTGATGGCTATGCTTTACTCTTTAGTAATAAAAGGTCCATGGTCAGACATTAATATTTCATTGTTTATGATTTTTGCTGAGTGGAATGTAAGCTAAGCAAATGGGCCAAAATGGAGCCAGCACAAATGAAACTGATGTCTGAGCTGCTTGGACCTGATAATGTATTATTTATCCAAACAGTTAATGCCCAACTTAAATGTCACCTCCTCAGAGAGGCCTGCCCTGACTACCCTATAGAGAAATAGTTCCTTCCTCTGTAGCCCCATCCCTGAAGGTGCTGGTTCCGTCATCCATAGCCCATACTCAGTGTATGATGCCTTTGATCATTACTTGCTTCCCTTCCTCTCCACAGAAAGGCAAAGGGCTATACTTGTCTTGGTGACATCACCTTTGTAGCACCTGCACTGTGCATGACAGAAAGCACATACTCACTAAATACTTGCTGGATGACTACATGAATAATCTTTCTCCACCAAAGAGAAGCTACTGAAGTTGTAAAGGGTTTTTCTACTGGGGTATTTCAATCTCCATTTAGGACTGATAAAAAAGTTCTTTACAAAGTTAGAAACTTATAAAAATGGGACCCAACAGGCTAAATACACTCTTTAAATAGATCTTTTTATATAAATAAAACAATATTGACCCCAAAAAGGTGAAATGTCTCAAAAAAATACATGTTTTCAGTCCATCCACTGATAAAATGTGGCATATTCATGCAATGGAGTATTATTCAGTCATAGAAAGAATGAAATGCTGATACATGCTACAATGTGGATGAACCTTGAAAACATTATGCTAAAGAAAGCCAGACACAAAAGGCCACATATTGTATGATCCCATTTATATGAAATATCCAGAAGAGACACCTATAGAGACACAAAGCATAACAGTGGTTCCCAAGGGCTGGGAAGAGGTGGGAATGCGAGTGACTGCTTCAAGCCCCAGAGTTTTTGTTTGGAGTGAAAAAAAATGCTTTGGATCTAGACAGAGGTGATGGTTGCACAACACTGTGAATGCACTAAATGCCACTGAATTGCTTCCTCTAAAACTGTTCGTTTTGTTATATAAATTTTACCTCAATTAAAAAAACATATTTATAAAAGTTTTCAAAGACTATCTTGCTTCTCACCAGGTCCCTGCGTGGTTTTCTTCTCTTCCACCCAACTGTAGTAGGCAGAGTAGTCCCCATTGTTGGGAAGGCTAATCCAAGGCCCTGTAATGCTAATGCTGGTGTCCCCGTTGTGATCGTCACAGACCCATCTCCCCGAGAGGTAAGTTGTCCTCCGGGCTTCGGCAAGCTTGCTCACGGTGCTGGAGGTCATGGCACTGTCACTCTCTGAAGACACATCTGTGGGATCTCTAAAAACCAAAGATGCACATGGATGTCAAGGGGCTGGGTTTTGAAGAGCATGCAATTACTTGGCAGATATGCAGAACACTGGGAAGATGCACATGAGGACAGGAATTTTTTTTTTCCAGGTACAAGTCATAAATTTTATTAGAAGTTGAGTATCTGTTGAGGACAAGAATTTAATTGGAATATACAGAGGTAAGCAATTCCATTAGAGGTGAAGGTCAAACCAGCTGTGGCACAGAAGCCCACAGCATGTGAGGAAGATGGCACCATGAACTAGAGCTTCAAGTGTTAGGTTCTCAAACTATTTGGTCTCAAGACCCCCCTTACATGCTTAAAACATTTTGAGGATCCTAAAGAGTCTTCTGTATGTGGGTTAGATCTATTAATATTTACTGTATTAGAAATGAGGAAATTTTAAATTATTAAATGATTCAAAAATAAGAAACCCATTACATGTAACATAGCATGTTTTTATGAAAAAAATCTGTATTTTTCAAAACAAGAAAATTAGCAAAGGGTGACATTATTTGTTTACCAGCTGAGTTCACAGCACAGTGCAGCACTGATCATGACTTTTGAAAAAATCTCTTTAATACCCACGTCTTTCCGTTGTGCTTTCAAGTAGATACAGTGTTCCATGGAAAAACCAACTAGTTTTGCTTACAACTCACTCAAGGGCTCTCCCTTGAGCCACCACGGCTTTCAGCATGCAGCAAATGTGCTTTCTGCAGACTTCCTATCTCGCTGCATGGCACAATCACATTTGCACACAGGGATCAAGACATAATTTAAATAGAATGAGTAATTTCTGCTGCTTCATCAATAGTGTTCTTGATGTGAAACTGGCTGGTTTTGTACACCGCAAGGACACTGTGGAACACAACGATTACTACACTATGGCGTCACTGCCTTGATATCTGTCAAGACAGAGGTTTTACCCACCACGGCTTTTGAGCCACCAGTGCAAACATCAACAGAGTGAAAAGGGAAAACAAAGTGTTAGTATTATTATGAAAATAGTTTTTGACTGCACAGACCCCGTGAAAGGGCCTCAGGGACCCAGAGAGGTCCACAGACCACACTTTGAGCACTGCTGGCCTGGAGCATGGAAGGTGAATGAGAAGGCTCGGCAGGTGCCTTGCAGGCGGGGGGGGGGGGGGGGG